GTCACTTAACCCTGATTGCCTCACCAAAAAAAAAAAAAAGAAAGAAAAGAAATACATAAAACCAAAAAGAGGAAAGGTAGGTGATATTAAATATTGCATTTAAAAAAGAGATATTGTTATTAAATCCTCAGGGACCAAAAGAATAGACTACTTTTTTTCATTGTTTTTATTCTGCATAGCTCTCAAAACACATTACATTACATTGCTTTACATAATAATATATTTCAGTCTTTTAAGAAAATCTGGTGTTTATATCTCGCACAGTACAACAGTGAGCAGGCTATTACGTTCTATTTCTTTTATTGATTTCAACCTAGGCATCATCTAAGAACTGCAGGTAAGATGGGGTCATCAACAAGTGAATTGGATTTACATATAGTTTAATGGTTGCTAATTTTTCCACAACTGTGGACTTGAACAGTATTGTGAATGCACAATAAATTAAAGCCTTTATAATCAACTTCTTGTGCTGTTCCTTGAGACCTACATATAATTGTTTCTGCATCATCCTTGACTCCTTAGTTTTACTTCCCTCATCAAAAGTTACCAAATTTACCAGAGCATTTCTCACATCCCACTCGTTCTCTCCACTTACATGGCCACCAACTTAGTTGAGTAACCCATCATCTCTAAACTATTGCAGCGCCCTCCTAGTCTTCCTGTCACAAGTCATTCTCTATTATAATCCATTTGTTATTCATTGTAAACTGAGCAGTTTCCCCTCCCTGCTACCACCAGAAATCAACCCATCTTCTATCAGTCACCTCTAAGCCAATTCTAAGTGTGTGGGGTGTTTGTGACCCCCAAAATAATCATATCAGAGACTTTTTCTTAAGAAAGGCAAAAAGGAGTTTTATTGCTTTCTCAAGAGAAAGGACACACCCAGCATCCACTCAAGATGGCTCCAGCCAGGGTGTGCGTCGGAGTGTCTTGTAAAGCAGAATACATAGACCCTATCCTCAATGTCCCCGCCCTAACCCCCTTCCCCTCAACCCACTGCCTGGGTATATTAGAGGCACAATCTATTTTCAGAATTCTAACTTCAACGGAAGGAAGTTTGAAACAAGTTAGAGGGGAGTGGTCTCTTTGCACAACCAGAACATCCGGTTTAGCCACACGGAACATCCGATTTAGACAGAATGTGCTGCAAGGCATCTGGGTGCAGTCTCGCAACAGTCATAAGTATGAAAAGTAACTGAGGTCGGGGTTAGTTCATTCCCCTGAGGGGGCTTCACCCTATATTAGCCCATTCACTCCCTTATCTCATTTACATATCTGTGTAAACCAATAAACCAAGAAATCAATTAATCAATAACCTGATCTCCCCCTGTCCTGTTTTCTTATTAATTCTGTGGGAACCGAACTGTTAGCATTCCTCACATAAGAAAGAGCTGTCATTCAGCAACACATGTAAAGGAGCTAAGGTGTGAATGATAGGAGTGATCCAAGGCTGAGGCTTGGCTGGGAGTGATCAGTAATCATGTTAAGGGGGCTAGGAATTCAACAGAGGAGAATAGTATGGAGTTGAGTCAGTTCACCAAGGGGTCAAGATGGAGAGAAGAGTATAAAGTGGCTAGGGCAAGGGAGATGGCCTGGGAAAGAATAGGAGGATAGGAGATCACAGTATTAATAAAGGGCAGGATTTTGCAAGGGAAAGCAGAGGGAAAGGAGAAAAGCCAATAGATCATGGTCAGATAAGGGGATTTCAGAATTCTTGAACATAAAGGTGGTATATTTGTGGGTGATGGCAAGACCAACAGTATGACCATTTTTGTGTGTGGCTGAGATGGCATGAAGGAGTAGCTTATGGGAAGTGAAGAGGTTGAGGAAAATAGTGACTTGGGTCCTTGAGACAGAGTATATGTCGAAGTCCCCCAGTACGAGGATAGGAGTTGGAGAAGAGAGAAAAATTGTGAGCCAGGTATCAAACTCATTGAGGAAGGAAGGAAAACAACCTGAAAAGTCTGTAGACAACAGCTACCAGGATTTTGATTGAGTGGTAGAAGCAATAGCATGAACCTCAAAGGAAGAGATGTTACTGAATGATGGAGGAAGTGAAGGAGTATTCCAACTTCAACTTGGCTTCAATGAGTGAAGGTGTAGCTGGTACTGGAAAGAGCAGCCAAGGAAGCTGTCACCAGGGAGAAGTAAATATCACTTGGTTTTTGCTATAGTTTTTTAGTAAATATCCCTTTATAAAAGCTAATTGATATTAATGGGTTATCAGTGGAATTGAGGTGATTATCAACTGGTTGAACTGAAAATACGGTACTAATCAATGGTATTAGGGACAATGAGGAGCAACTGTTACTGGCCATTGATACTAGAGAGACAACACATTCTAATAGAAACTTGTGCTGACAGTAATAGTAAGATACTTCCAAGAGGTACCCCTAGAACTCTGAGGAAAAGATAAATTCATCTACACTGTCAGGTCCTGTAAGCATCAAAGCAAGTAGGAGTTGGGGTAAAGACCCCAGAGTCTCTATGGGCTACATATGGGATTTTCTCCTGCTGTGCTGCTTCTCTCTCTTAAATCTGAAATCACATCTCTCTCATGTATGCTGTCTGCATACTTTATTCTCTCTGATAATTTGGAGAAAAGAAAGCCATTCCTCCAACCCCATTCACATTCTCCTACAGGGGATATACTCATGGTTCACTTTTTACATGCATAACATAATTTGCCCTTGGCAAAAATACAAACATAGTACATCTACATTTCAAAGCTAAATTCCTCTCCCCTTCATACTTGCTGGAAATGAGCCCTTCGATCTATCATTCTTATTGGTAACTCACCAAACTACAGCAGGCAACTGTCTTTTTTTTTCACCATTCCTTTCTTTATTGCATTGGAACCTCTTAAGTGAGGTTTGGTTTACTTATCATATACCTCCCATCTTTTTCTTCTGTTCAGCTGCTTTTGATTGGCAACTAGCACACTCTTCTAGCTGTCTTCAGTACAAAGGTCCCAAACAGAAAAAAAAAAATACCTGCAGGACTATATCTGTCTAAATCTAATAATCCACTTCTCTCCTCTTCATATTCTGATTTTATGACTCTATCAATGTCCACTCTGACCTGCTTCTACAAACCTGATTATATCAAATTAAGTACTAAGGTCAATTCACCACCAAAAGCTTCTTCATGTGCCCAAGTTCCAGCCTGATGATTAGATTCTCATCTGGGCAGGGAAAGAGGGGAATTGACTCTAGGTGCTGCTCACTACAGATACTGCGGTAAGAACTAAAGAGAAAGGCTGAACTCACTTATACCAGA